CCCACCACCAAAGACAGTTTCCCTCCCCACGCTTATCTGCTTTTCGGAGGGACCACTCTCTCCATGACTCCCTTGTCCGCTCCACACTCCCCTCCAGCCCCATCACACCTGGCACATTTCCTTGTAACCACAGGAAGTGCTACACCTGCCCCTACACCTCCTCCCTCACCCCCATCCCAGGCCCCAAGACTTTCCACATCAAGCAGATGTTCACCTGCACATCTCCTAATGTGGTATACTGCATCCGCTGTTCCCGTTGTGGCCTCCTCTACATCGGGGAAACCAAGCGGAGGCTTGGGGATCGCTTTGCAGAACACCTACGCTCGGTTCGCAATAAACAACTGCACCTCCCAGTCGCGAACCATTTCAACTCCCCCTCCCATTCCTCAGACAACATGCCCATCCTGGGCCTCCTGCAGTGCCACAACGACGCTACCTGAAGGTTGCAGGAACAGCAACTCATATTCCGCTTGGGAACCCTGCAGCCCAATGGTCTCAATGTGGACTTCACAGGCTTCAAAATCTCCCCTCCCCCTACCGCATCCCAAAACCAGCCCAGCTCGTCCCCGCCTCCCTAACCTGTCCTTCCTCCCACCTATCCCCTCTTCCCACCTCAAGCCCCACCCCCATCTCCTACCTACTAACCTCATCCCTCCCCCTTGACCTGTCCGTCCTCCCTGGACTGACCTATCTCCTCCCTAACTCCCCACCTACACTCACCTTTACTGGCTCCATCCCCGCCTCTTTGACCTGTCTGTCTCCTCTCCACCTATCCTCTCCTCTATCCATCTTCTATCTGCCTCCCCCTCTCTCCCAATTTATTTCAGAACCCCCTTCCTGAAGAAGGGTCTAGGCCCGAAACATCAGCTTTCCTGTTCCTCTGATGCTGCTTGGCCTGCTGTGTTCATCCAGCTCCACACCTTATTATCTCATAAAGTAAAATGATACAGTTTTTACTTGCCCTTGAAAATGAAACATCGTTCAAAAAAATTTTCACAAGAAGTGATGATTTTAGGAGTGTAAACAGTGACCTTATTGAAATATATAAGTTTCCCCAAGAAAAAACCTGTTAAATGCTGAGAGGCTGTTTTGCCTTGTTGGAGAATCTAGACCCAGAGGGCATAGCCTCAGGGTGAAGGGTTTCCCACCTAGGACAGAGACAAAATGGAATTTCTTCTCCACAAGTCATTTTTTTTATTCACTCATGGGATGTGGGTGTCTCTGGTTGGGCCAGCTTTGTTATCGATTGTGAGGAAGAGTCACCAGACCTGAAGCGTTAACTCTGATTTTTTCTTCACAGATGTATCAGACCTGCTGAGCTTTTCCAGCAACTTTGTTTTAGTTACCTGTCCTTAATTGCCCTTGAGAAGGTGATGGTGAGCTGCCTTCTTGAACTGCTGCGGGTGGACCCACAATGCCCTTTGGGAGGGAATTCCAGGATTTTGAGCAACAGCGAAAGATCAGCACTATATTTCCAAGTCAGGATGGTGAGTGGCCCTGAACACTACGGACAATTTAGCATGGCCAATCCACCTAGCCTGCACATCTTTGGACTGTGGGAGGAAACCCACGCAGAAACAGGGAGATTGTGCAAACTCCACACAGACAGTCGCCCGAGGGTGGAATCGAACCCAAGTTCCTGGCGCTGTGAGGCAGCAGTGCTAACCACTGAGCCACCACAAATGTTCATGTGGCAAGTCCAGTTGAGTTTCTGTCAATGGTAACTCCAAGGCTGTTGCCAGTAGAGGATTAAATGAAGGTAACACCATTGAATGTTAAGGGACAGTGATTAGATTAGATGGTCATTGCTTGGCAATTGAATCAGTAGAATTCTTTACAGCAGGGGACTGTAGAGGCTTTTTCTTTATTCACTGGTGGGATGTGGGCACCACTGGCTGGCCAGCATTTATTGCCTATCCCTGGTTTCCTTTGAATTGAGTGACTTGCTAGGCCATTTCAGAGGGTAGTTAAGAGTCAACCACATTGGTGTGGATCTGGAGTCACGTGTAGGCCAGACCAGGTAAGGTCCAAAGGACATTAGTGAACCAGATTGGTTTTTCCTGACAACCAGCAATGGTTTCATGGTCATCAGTAGACTCTTAATTCCAGATTATTATTGAATTCAAATTCCACCATCTGCATTGGCAGGATTTGAACCCAGGTCCCCAGAACATTAGCTGAGTTTCTGGATTAATAGTGTATCAATAATACCACTCTGCCATCACTTTCCCCTTAGGGTAAGTCATTAAGTATAGAATAGACTATAAGATCAGCCGTAAGGGAATTAAGGATTATGGGGAAAAGGCAGAAAAGTGAAGTTGAGGATTATCAGATCAGTCATGATCTTATTGAATGGCAGAGCACACTTGATGGACTGAATTAGCCTATTTCTGCTCCTGTATGTTACGGCCTTACATTGGAAGATGAAACATAAACAGGGTGACTACTTTGTTGAACATCTCAGCTTTGCCCTCAACAATGAACTTGACCTTCTGGCTGCTTCTATTTCAATACACCATATTGCGCTCTCTCATACTGTTCTTGGCCTGGTGCAGATTCCAATAAAGCCCAACAGAAGCTGGAACAGCAGCACTTCATTTTCTATTTAGTTACTTTACAGCCTTCAGGATTCAACATTGAGTTAAACAATTGCAGACCAAGAACTTTTTCCTCTAATTGTTAGGAATATATAATACAGAAACAGGAATAAGCCCTTGAGCCCTTCGAGCCTACTCTACCATTCAATGTGAACATGGCTGATCATCCAACTCATTATCTTGCTCCTGGTTTCCCCTTTTATGCCTTCAGTCTTACAAACTATGTCTACAGCTTTCTTGAAGTCTTAAATTTTTGGACTCAGCAGTTTCCTGCAGCAGAGAATTCCACGGTCTCACCATTCTCTGGGTAAAGAAACTGCCAACCTTTCCTTTAAGTACAGCCTGATCTTCCCTCGTGTTCTGCTTTCTCCTTCCCACCTTTTTCTACAGTACAAAACAGACCACTTGCTCAATTCTCTATTCACTTTCAAAGAAAATTTCTATCAAATTTATATGAACATACAAAATAGGAGCAGACATAGACCAATTTGGCCCCTTCAGCCTGCTCCTGATAACGTCATGGCTGATGTGCTTGGGTTTCAAATTCCACATTCCCATTTACCCTTGATAAACTTTGATTCTCTTGCCTTACAAGAATTTATCTATCAATCTTTCCAAGTCACACAACCCACTGAAAGAAAAAAATTCTCCTAATTTGTCCCCTAAAGGGCAATCCTTAATTTTAAAAGTGTGTCCCGTGGTTCTGGACTCATCCACAACAGGAAACATCATTCCCACATTGTCAAGACCATTCAGGATCTTAAGCATTTCAACCAAATCATCCTTACTCTTTTTAGCTCCAATGAAAACAAGCCCAACCTGTCTAACCTATAAAACAATCTGCTCATTACAGGTATCAATCTAGTAACCTCCTCTGGACAGCCTCCAAAATATTTACATCTTTCCTCGAAAAAGAGACCAAAATGCACATAGTATTCGAGAATTGATTTTATCAATGCCCAGTATCAATGAAGTATGAATATGGGATTGTGACTCAGTGGTTAGCACTGCTGCCTCACAGCACCAGGAACCTGGGTTCAATTCCACCCTTGGGTGACTGTCTGTGTGAAGTTTGCATGTTCTCCCCATGTCTGCGTGGGTTTCCTCCCACAGTCCTAGGATGTGCAAATTGTCCATAGTGTTCAGGGATGTGTAGATTAGGTGGGTTATCAGGGGATGTGTCTGGGTGGGATATCTGAGGGTCAGTGTGGAATTGTTGGACCAAAGGACCTGTTTCTGCATTGTAGGGATGCTATGATCTTTACTTTTATATTCAATTCCTCTTTGCAATAAAGGATAGCATCCCATTAGCTTTCTTGAATACATGCTGTATCTGCACACTAATTTTTGTGCCTACATGCACTAAAACACTAAAATTCCTCTGCCCCTCATAATTTTGCAGTCATTCTCCATTTAAATAATCATTTTTTTCATTTTTCCTGCCAAAGAGAACAACTTCACATTATATTTCACCTGTAGATTTTTGTCCATTCAATTCACCTATTGATATTGGTCTACAACTCCCTCATATCTTGTCCACAACATGCATTCCTACCACATAGTGTTAACTGTGTTTCTCTGTACACAGATGCTGCCAGACTTGCTGAGTTTCTCCTGCACTTTGCTTTTGATTTTACTCATTCGGTTGTCGTGAACTTTGTGCTGTCAGCTATGGCTCAGTTGGTAGCATTCTTGCCTCCAAACCAGAACGATGTGTGTTCAAGTCATACGGTAAAGACTTGAGCACAGAAATCAAGATGGATATTCTCATACACTAGTAAGAATGTGCTGCTCTGTCAAAGACAATAACCTTTTTTTATGCGGAAACAGTATTTTGAAACTCTGGCAACAGTCTCGGGTAATGTAAAAATCCCAAAAGGCAGGAGAATTATGTTGGTGTTCTGGACAATAGTTATGCCTCAATTAACGTCATAAAATATTATCTGGTCATTATCATAATGTTTGTGAATGCTGTGTTCCCCATTTCAGAAGTACTTCACTAAGTGTGTAATTGGCCATCCTGTGAGCATGAGGAGTGCTATATGAATGATGTTTTTCTTAAATTACGAATACGCTAGAAGGTCGTGACAACTTTGAAAAGAGAATTGGATAAATACTTACAAGAAACACTTACATAGGACTTTGAAGAAAAAGGTGCAGTATAGACATAACGGGATGACTGGCCTCATTCTATGCAATATCATTAATGTCTCACCATCTAAATCCTTATATCTGTTGCAACAAAATTAATTCCCGAGTGAAGGTTGTGCTACAGATTAGTAGGTCCTGATACTTTAATAATGTCGGCCATTCTGTCAAGCAGCAGGACCTCACACCGGCAGAGAGCATGCGCACTTCTCTGCCAGCTTGTCCCCCTCGGACAGCGCAGGCGCGGTGATTGCGGACGCGGTGGAGACTGTATGGGGGGGGCTTGAGGGCTCTCTCGGGACTGGTTACCGTGGAAACGGCGGCCTGCATGGGCTGTGGGCACCGCGGAGCCTGGGACAGAGTGGACGGCAGCTGTGGTGAGAGAGCTCAGTCCGGGCAGCTGGTTGCAGCGCGTCGGGCCGGGAGGGAACTGCAGTGTAGCCCAGGGGGTGGGGACACAGACTCCACTTGAAACAGAGGCCGGGGCTTTAGCATCGAAATAAGCCGGGACCCGAATCCCAGACACCGGACCGGACTCCAGTCCCGAACCCGGATCTGGACTGGACCGGACCCCAGACCTGAACCGCATCTGAATCTTGAATCGGCCACTGGTCCTGATTGGAAACGACCCCGGTGCAGGTATGGTATTCCTTATGGCTGGGTAGTTATATTCTGTATACACCACAGAGACTGCGGTCCATTAACAAAAGCAAAATGCCCTGGATACTGGAAATCTGAAATAACAAACATCAAGTGCTGGAGAAACACAGCAGGTCACAGTGTCAGACCCCCATTGTGTCATAACGAAACAGACCCTTCGGTCCGAGAATAGTAGGAACTGCCAATGCTGGAGAATCTGAGATAACAAGGTGTAGAGCTGGATGAACACAGCAGGCCAAGCAGCATCAGAGGAGCAGGAAGCCTGACGTTTCGGGTCTGGACCCTTCAGTGCAACTCGTCCATGCCCACCAGATTCCCTAAATTGATCTAATCCTATTTGCCAGCATTTGACCCATATCCCTCTAACCCTTCCTATTCATATATGCACCCAGATGCCTTTTAAATTGCACCAGCCTCCACCACCTTCCGTGGCAGCTTGTTTTACATGTGCACCACCCTTTGCATTAAAGAGTTGCTCCTCAGGTTCCTTTTAAATCTTTGCTCTGTCACCTTAAACCTAGGCCCTCCAGTTTTGGATTCCGTACCGTAGGAAAAAGACCTTGGACATTCACCCTATCCGTGCCCCTTATGATTTTATAAATCTTTAAAAGGCCATCCCTCAACCTTTGATGCTCCAGAGGAAAAAGCTCCAGCCTACTCAGCCTCTCCTGTTGGAGAGTTACTGGTTCTAGACACTCAGCAATAGAGATTGGGGCCATTTTCTAGTTGACTTTGAATAATAAAAATAGAAAAACCTCAAAAGCAGGCAGTGAGGCTTTTGGTGAGGGGGAATAAAGGGAAAACAAAAAGACTATTTTGTTTATTGAAGGAAGTTGAAAGAGCTTTAAGCTTTTGCTGAAGTGGAGGTGATTAAAAGTGAAGGAGAATACTTATGAACTGTCTTCTAAATCAAGAAAGATGGCCCACTTGTGGGAAAGTGAGGAAGTTTCTTTGTTTTGCATTTGTTTGTGAAGATAAGTTGGTAAAATGGAATTGAGCAAGTCTGATCAGTATCGTCATCCTGTTGTAAATTAAAGCAGTATTCTGATATAGCTCTGACCTGGTGTCAACCAGGGTTCATTCAGTCCTTTTTTTGGGCGTAATGAAGCAGTATGGGTGAAAGATTCAGAAAAGCATGGTTATATGAGGCTGTGACTCTTATGCTCCTTGATCATTTCATCTTAAAAATATCATATTTAAAAACCTCAAAAGCAGACAGAGATGTCTTTTGGAAAATAAGAAACTGCAATGTCATTTCACATAATGCCTTCACACCACTTGGGAGATACAATTTTTATAACTGACGGCAGGTGCTAGACTGCAGTATTTAAATAGAAAATGTCTGTCCTAGATAGAACTACTATCCTTTGATGCCTCAGTAGAAACCACTGTCAAAAGTATTTAGGTAAAAGGTTCCCACTCCTACTCATTATCCAAAAACCCATGCCACGTGCACAGATGTCAGGTTAAACCTGGACTGAAATCAGCTGTGATGCTCTCTATGGCTAATTAACCTGACAGTATTCAGCATTTAGCCTAATTTACGAAATGTGCCGTTTTAGGTAGTTTGTAAATGAACAATCAATATCTGTGGAACTCTACAACTAGCAAGCCCAATAGGTTTAAGATGGATGCAGTAAAAGCAGAGGGATATCATTAACCATCATGGGAAAGTGACACAAACACTTGGACGACACCGTTGTCATTATTAAACGGACCAAACCAGAGGAGACACACAAACTTATAAACAACACCCTCACTGGAATAAAATTCACCACAGAGGAGGAGAAGAACAAACAGCTCCCATTCCTGGACGTCATGGTAGAGCACAAGACAAGTGGGGAACTCCAAAGGAAAGTACACAGAAAAGCCACACACACGGACCAGGTACTGAACTTCAACAATAACCATCCCAACACACACAAACGAAGCTGTGTGCGAACACTATTTAAATGGGCAACAATACACTGCAGCAACACAGAACTACGCCAAGAGGAAGAAGAATACCTCTTCCAGGTTTTCAAGGAGAATGGATATCCAAAAAACTGGGTCAGAAGATGCCTATATGAAAAACATCAGGAAGATACTACACGCCCCGACACACTCAGCACACTACCCTACATCAGGAACACATCAGAACTAACCACAAGACTCCTACGACCGCTGGGCATCAGAGTGGCACGCAAGCCCACATCAACCCTACAACAACTGCTCACCTGAACTAAAGACCCTCTCCCTGCCATGGACAGGACCAATGTCATCTATAAGATCCCCTGCAGAGACTGTTAGAAACACTACATCGGACAAACAGGAAGGAAACTAACAACAAGGGTACACGAACACTAACTGGCTACAAAAAGACACGACCAATACTCACTCGTCTCAATCCACATGGACAAGGAGAACCACCAATTCGACTGGGACAACACCAAAATTCTGGGACAAGCTAAGCAGAGACAGGCACGGGAATTCCTAGAAGCCTGGCACTCCACGAGGAAAGCTATTAATAAACACATAGAACTCGACCCCATATACACTCCACTATGAAGGAAAATCGGAGGTGAGTCAATCCAGCTCAACGGACTCCAGAGTTTAAAAACCAGGCGGGAAAACACACCGACGCTTAATCAGAAGCTGCACTGATGATGTTACCCAGCATGGTAACGAAACGTCTGCGGAACAACAAACCAGCTCGGCGAGCCAACCAACCTCAACACCCACAACCCGAGCTACAAATCTGCTCCAAAACCTTAGTGACACAAACATACAGTAAATCAAAAAGTGCAATGAAATGAAGTAAAAATTAACTGAGAAAGGAAAGGCAACCTGCCAGAGTCTCAAAATATATCACAATTATTCAACATGTGGAGATAACGTACAACAGAACATGAACAGGAATCCCATACCTGCATGTTCAAGGACTTTGTGCCTTTTTAATATCACATAATCGGCCAGCTGTTTTCAATCCTGTTGTTCTGACTGTGTCTTGAACATACTGCTTGCCACGTTTGGTGTGTTTGGCAGCATTCTTTAGAGAGAGAAACAGAGTTAACACTTTGATTTTGGTATGACTTCAGAAGAAAATTTCTGAAGAAGAGTCACCTCAAGCTCAAACCCTTAACTCTGTTTTTCTTTCCACAGATACCACCTGATCTGCCAAGTTTCTCTCGCATTCTGTTTTTTTTCTCTATTTCTTATTTTGGGTCTACTGTGCTATTGTTAGGATGTCAGCTGGTTTTCATAATGCAGCTGTCTCTAGAAGATACAGTTTTTGCACTCGAGATCGCGGGAGGATCTTGACATGAGTGGAATCCAGTGGGTCTATGATTCCTTTTTCCAGCATGAATATGTCACTGGGAGAGTGATTTAGGCATATTACTTCACTAATCAAAAAACCAAAGAACTGTGGGTGTTGGAAATCAGAAACAGATTTGGAAATTGCTGGAAAAACTCAGCAAACTCCTCACTATCCAAGGCTCCAGATGCACCTTCCAGTTGAAGCAGTGATTTACCTGCACTTCTCTCGGTCTAGTCTATTTGCTGTGTACAATGTGGTTTCCTCTACATTGGTGAGACGAAACGCAGACTGGGCAATCACTGCAGAATTTTTTTTGTTTTAGAAGCAACATGATTTTGAAAATGGAAAGAAAGCAGTTACTCCGTATTCTGTAATCATCTTCAAATCTGTACAATTATCTCAACAAACAGTTAAAACTGTTTTTAATCAACCTGTGTGGACAGGTTATAACACAACCGAAAGATAAAGTGGGACTTGAACCCATATGTTATGGCCTCGAGGGAGGGCCTTTACTGTTGTGCCACAAGACCCGAAGAAACAATTAAATGTTGAGCTCAATCTTTCTTTGTTTATCTAACAGGTGGCTTTATGGCCTTAAAGTATTCCAGAATCTACCTTGGGTTATATGGTGCAAAAACCATGTCCTTTATAAACAACTTAATATCAGTCTTTTGTGAAGGAATTCATCTCATAATATGTCCAAAAACTGCAGTTCGCATAGACTTTATACATTCCCAACTGCTATTGAGGTTACTGTGTTAATATAAATGCATGATAAAATTGTGGTGCAGTGGTAGTATCCCTGCCTTTGAGCCAGAAAACCCAGGTTCAAAGTCCATTTGTCCCTTTAAAAGACTTTTTTTAAACTGCAAAAATAGCGTACATTCTATAAGATAGGAAGGTGCAAAGGATAGCAGAACGTGACAGAAAGCACAGCAGGAGGCCCTTTTCCCTCACATGTACCATGCCAGCTCCCTCCAAGAGGGAGATGTAATAACACCTCTGAACAAGTTGATTAGAAAATAGGTTAAAAAAGATGCTATTTCCCAATAGTATATTGTACATGATATACCCAGTCACCAGACCAGAGTGTATAGCTTGTTAAATTTAGCCTTCAAGTATTTACGTTATAGTTTAAAGTTTGTAGTTTAAGCTTTGGGTGAGGAACTTGAGGGCAGATGTCCTGCTCCTGACTGCCAAAAGTTGTTTCACTAGGATTTTGTTTATTTTCCTACTAATTTTCTCCCTGTCTGATTCTGCTGAATTGTTCTGCTTGGTGACCACATGCTGCTGCCACCTGTTCAGTTACTCTTTCCGTGTGGTTTGGGTGGGGTCATAGGGAGGAAGAATACAGTGCAGTTGTTCTCAACACCCTCGGCTGGGAAAGGAACGAATCAACTCCTGAGCAGTAAACATGGTGATCTGTTCCAGCAGCCGCCTTGTTCAGCACATGAAGCTTAGGATTACGTGGTTTAAGGGCTGCAGAGGCTTGATGCTTTAAAATCATTTTTCTTTATTCATTAACAGGATGTGGGCATCTCTGGCTAGGCTAGCATTTATTGTCTGTCCCTAATTTCCCAAAGGGCTGTTAAGAGTCAAACGCCATGCTGAGGGCATGGAGTCACACATAGGCCAGACCAGGTAAGTATGGCAGTTTCCTTTCCTAAAGGACATTAGTGAA